CTCCCCCCACCCCCCACGGGGCCAGCAGGGGCGAAATCGCCAGCTTCTAGGACCTTTTCTGAACTTTTTGAAATTAAAAAATTAATGGCTTATCTGCTGTCCATGGAAGTAAAGATTAGTATATGAGTAAAAATGTTTTCCAGTCATTTTATTGCACTGTTTATTGTACAGATATGTGACACCATAAAGAAAGATAATAAGAGCCAATATTCCGTGGGAAAGTCCCATGTTCACAGTGATAATTGCAGAGTTTTCAGCATTTCACAGGATGTCTGTCATATTACTGATCAAACACCTGATACTCCACCATAGGCAGCCTACTACTTCTATGATTATCCTGGTGTGTATCAGCATTTCAATAGGGTACTGGCCAAGATGACTCAAGCCAAGGATAGCCTCTGACCTGATATCCACCCAATATTTCCAGTGAGAATTTAACCAATCAGCAGTAACCATTGTCTAAATATATTGCTTCTGTCTAGAAGTATTTTCTTCTGCATCCTCTCTTCTCTCCCATGAGTACAAAGGAGTAGAAAATTTTTCATGATTTACAATGAACACATTCCCACAGTGTCTTTCGCTCTGTGTGGAAGAGTTACAGGTGTCTTCAGGTTATGCATATTTGGTGACTAATTAGCTTTTCCAGTGTCCAAAAGTAGAAGTTACATAAATGGATTTAGTCCGATCACACAGAAATACTAGCTATAGAAGGTTCCTGCTATCCCCAGTCTTTTTGTTTCTTCGTATTTTCCTTTAACAATAGAAGAAGACTGGTAGTTAATCAAATCTGTGAAAGTATCATGGAATCCAAGTAAATTGTATCTTTGAGGTTTTCTCTTGACACGATGGAAAACAGTATATTTACTAACTCTTCTGTAAAGTTTATTTTAGCCATTTAGTTCCCACCATCTTAAAGAAGGTAATATATATGTATAATCTGCCCTTCTAAGCTGGATATTACTCTCTTTCGTTGTGTTCATAAGACTAATCACAATTTGTTTTATAGTGTACCATGCTGTGGAAAGTGATGTGTGACCCTATAATAGCTGTATGTCACCGTGCATTGGAACTGCTTTGGGTGATGTGTTCTTTATGCTTCCAAGGCCATACCTGTGTACAAATGCAGAACGGAATAGACTTGGTCTAGATGGGAAGGATAGAAATCTAATTAATTAATTGTACAGATATGTGACATGTGAATTAATAAAGTTTGCACAGTGTACCATGAAAATAGTGGCTAATTAATGTGATGCTGGGGCCCTTGTTGGTTGTGTAGTCAAGTACACGGCCGGGCATAGGTACTGAGATGTGCCCCAGCCCCTTGTCATTTATAAGTACCCATACGTCGTGGCTAATTACACCAACCTTCCAGAAGCACCAAAAGGGTGCTGGCCGTAGAGTCAGAATGCTGGAGGAGGACCCCAGTGTTTCCAGAACCCATCAGAGGCCCTCAGGATGCTTGGAAGTTTGTTTCTGGGGCATGCTAGAAAGCTTCCCTTCCCTGTTCTTTCTGACCGTTCTCTGTTTCTTCTCCAGCAGCCCATCGTGCCTGCCCATCCAATGGCTCCTCCTAGCCCTAGCAGCAATAACAACAGCAGCAGCAGCAGCAACTCAGGATGGGATCAATTAAGTAAAACAAACCTTTATATCAGAGGGCTGCTTCCAAACACCACTGACCAGGACTTAGTAAAGTTATGCCAACCGTAAGTATCCATTTTGAAAGGCAGTTAAAAATATCTATGTTATGTGAAAGTGCTTTAAGCCAGAACGGATTATTAATGGGCAGATGTTAGGATTGTGGGATATATTTTAATTGTTCTGTTTTGTTTTGCTAGAAGCTTTAGGTTTGTCAGTACAAAGGTTATATGATGGGAAAAAGTATTCTGACTGTGAGCATTTCCCACCACCACTTGCCCCCCCTACTATTCCTGAATTGAAACCAGTCTTTTCAAAAGTTGAAGTTCTGTTCCCCCCACCCTGATCCGAGGTGTCTCCTTTACAGTGATATAATTTACAGCCCAGAATGCCACTTTTTTGTTCCTGTTATCGAGAGTTGGCGATCTGCTACAGATCCTCCCAGGACCTGTCAGCAGATCCCAGTCTGGCTTCTGGCCATTCCTGTTTAAATGGCTATTCAGCAGAGAGAGTGCAAAGAGAAAGAGGAGGGACAATTCCTTTTTGATTGTCTAAGAAAAATACATGGCAGTCAAGCCTGTCAGCCTACATATGGGTGCCCGCATGTTCTGGAAGGTCGTGTGTTTATGTCTGAGAGGCATCTCACCTTGAAGGATCTGTTGACTTCGCCATCAGTATAAGGCCACCACTGATGTACTTTTTTTTTAAAAAAAAATGTTTTTACTTCAGGTAATACTACTTGAATTAAAAACTATCAAATATTTTGTGCTGTCACATTATATAATATTATGGTTCTGTTGAGTTGGATCCAGAGACACCTCAAAAGAAGTTGTATTCCCTTCACAGAAAATACTATATCGTGGCATACATAGAGTATGACTTTTTTCAAAAAAGCGACCTAAATTCAGTGATGAGGTTACACATGCACAAGAGCTTATGGAATTGGACACATAGCAATGGTAATAGAGTCTATCTATTTTGTATCATGTAAGCATTTACTAGTGGCTGTTTTCTATTTAGTCACAGTTCTTTGGATCCAAGCCTGAGTGAATACTGAACAAATTGGAATACAGTATACACAAAACAGATAGAAACTTCTTCTGTGGAAAATCTCCAAATTATTGTATTAGAGTTGGGTCATAGCAGGCAAACCACTGGGGCTCTGTGGAAGCTAACTTCTTTCAGTGTTGTTCTTAACAACTAAAGCAAATGGTTGAAGACGATAAAAACTGACTGGGTCTTTGCCAAATTGTAAAAGTGTTTCTAAATAATTTTTAACAGACTGTGGAAAATTAAACGCATGCCACATTCTTCTTCTTATTTAGTCTTTCCTTTCCATTCCTTTTGGAGGGGCATTTGTGTTATATTTAATGACTTTTCATTGCCATAGTTGATTGAGCAGCTTTTATTATAGCAGCAAATTTTGCATCCTGTACTGGACAAGCAGAGCAAAGTGATACAGCTCTTCCTTGGTTTATAAATGGCAGATATGTTGTTCAGATTTCTAGTTTGGCTTCCAGAACCAGTCTGTGGCCCTGGAATGCTGTGGAAACGGATCCTTCCTGTGGAATGGCAAATAGCCAAGTAAAAAGGAATGTGTTAAGTCCAGCAGAGCAAGTATTGAATGTTCCATTGGTGCATTAGGACCTGTGCATCCAGCCTTAGGCAATAGTAACACTGTAAAATTGCATATAATCATCGTCACTTCTTTGTGTACTTCATCTGAGTACTCATTTCTACTGACCTTTCTCTGTTCCCATTCCCTCTTTAGTGCATATGTGCGCTAAAGTTACTTCTGTACATAGTGGTCTTTTTTATATCTTGAAAGCAGAAAGTGCACATTATAGTCTGAGTTGTTGCCTATGTAAACCGATGCCACAATAAGTCTCTTTATCTTGCAGTCCTATACCCACTAACATGGGAGTAGGTCCCATTTAACTCATAATCCTTTGTACATATGATGAGTCATACATAGGTTTATGCTGTCAGCCTCTAAGGAATGAAAGCAGGTTTGTCATCTTATTACTGCAAAATGGGTTTTGAAATAGGAATGTTATGCTTAGATTCAGAAGCTGCCAAGATAGTTCAGCGGCATAGGTATCTGGCTGCAGAGAGTTGTCCCTACTGTGCCTCCTGTGAGTAGAGTCAGCCTTGAGCAAGCTGCACACTCCCAGGGTGTCCCCAGAAGAAGGGAATGGTAAACCACTTCTGAGCATTTTCTACTGGGAAACTCTGAAAAGGGTCACCGTAAGTCAGCACTGACTTGGTTGCACATGTTTATTATTATTATTTTACATGACCCTATTTGGAAAGGGAATAAAAGAATATCTTGTGCTTCAGAGTACTAGGTTCTCTGCATTAGTAATGTTTTCTGACTTTGCTGCTTCACTGATAACATCTGCTTACTGGGGATGCAAGTCTTTATTTAATTTCTTCTCATAGATAAGAATGAAAAATCCAAAAGATTTTTCCCCCAGCTGGGTATGGACAGGATCGTGGTTGTGCACTTCTTATATGTCAAGGCTTTTTCAAATTATTGAAGTGTTTTTTGCACAAAGAACTTCGTATTTTGTGAAAAAAAGAAACCCTTGTATTCTGAACAAGATATAAATTTTTGTGCTAGTAGAAATGCTATTACTGACAAAAAAAAGCACAGGTCTTGCTGCTCTATAAACAAGCAAAATCAATTCACAATTTTTTCAACAGGGTGTCTCAGTGTGTTGAGATGTTCTTTAGTGAATATACTATGAATATAACAAATATGTGTGCATATTTGTTATATTCATAGTATTTCTTATAATAATAATCATGTCCCATCAAGTCAATTCCAACTCATGGTGACCCTTTTTCAGGGTTTCCTAGGTAGAGAATACAGTGGTACCTTGACTTAAGAACTTAATCCGTACTGGGATTGCGTTTTTAAGTCGAAACGTTCTTAAGTTGAAGCACCATTTCCTATAGGAATGCATTGAAAACCATTTAATCCGTATCTGCTGTTTTTCGTTCTTAAATCGAAGCATTAGTTCCCATAGGAACTAACGCAAAGCCAGTTAATCCGTATCTACCACTAGTGGGCGAATTTTTCTTCTTCTTTTGACCTAAGGTGAACTTAGGACAAAAAAAGGTAGGAAAGGGGTTTGTTGTTGTTGTTGTTGTTGTTGTTGTTGTTCTTAAGTCGAGGCTCCGTTCTCAAGTTGAAGCAGCTTTTTGCGCATGGAGCCATTCTTAACTTGAATCGTTCTTATGTAGGGATGTTCTCAAGAGAGGGGGTAGTTTACCATCCCCCTTCTTCTAGGGGCGCCCTGGGACTGTGCAGCTTGCCCACAGATACAGAATAGGGAATCCCAACTACCAACCTCTGGCTCCACAACCAGGTAGATACCTAAACCACGGAGCTATCCATTCGGCTGTTACTTCTAGTTGCTTAGAGTCATATGATATGCTTGCTTTATATGAGCATAGATTGTAGGCAAAAATGTTTGCTTTTATTTTTGTAAAAGCCTATAGTATATAGTAATGAATTCTGTAATCACAGTGATTTTCTAAAAGTAAACAAATAATAAGCAAATAAAAGTTAACAGAGTACACTTGGAAGCAATATTGCCCTACTTGCGCAAAATCTTGCACTTCAGTATCAATTTGCATCTTTGTCTTATTCCACTGTTTGCAGCTAATTTGAGCCCTTTGAGGTATTGGGCGTACAGTATTTTTATTTTGCTTGTTCTAAGAGGTCACATTGATTCAATACAGCTATATTGTATGTATATCTTCTTATCCATAACTGTATAGTTTGCATGTGTTTGCAGACTCCTTTGAATGATTTTTAAACAGATTAATGCAGAAGAGTACTTCCTCAGAACCTTTTAATTCTTGTTCCCATAATGTTTTCATTCAGTCTCAATCTTTATTCCTCTAGCCTTTCTATCCAGTGTACCACTTTTGCATTTCTCTCCCAGACTGGAACACAGTTTCATGTAGTGCACATCAAATACTCAACTGGGAGAGCAGATGTTTTCATATAGCATTTGTGAAATTTCAACTGAAACTAGGAGGGAACCAGTTTTTAGTAAATTCCAGTATATAGAAACATGAATTTGCCAGTTCTACATTTATGGGATTCTATTGCTCCCCCTCCCGCTCTTTCAGAAATCACTGTTGTGGCTATGGAATGAAATGGGAATGGTGTGGGTCAGATTTCTCTTTCTCCCTCCCTCCCTTCTGATATTTTCATACACTGCGTTGCATTTTCCAATAATCATATAACTCTAAATAGAACAACTGTGCTATTGCTGAGGTGAGAGACTGCCCCTGAAATAAAGATGACTGAGGAGAATGCTTGTACAAATCTTACAAAGTTCATAACATGCGTTGATCTAAGTAAAGGAATTCATATGTATAGTTTTGTTGTTGTTTTTAAACTGCCTTATCTGGGCTGCCCAACATCTTGTCATAGTTTGGAGTTATACAGTAAAGTAGTACAGTGGTGCCTCGCATAGCGATTGCTCCGTATAGCGACGAAATCGCTTTGCGATGGACTTTTTGCCATCGCAGGGAAGTGATCATCGCAAAGCCCCCATTTTCGGCCAGCTGATCAGCGGTTTCAAAATGGCTGCCCGGAAAACAAAATGGCTGCCCTCTGTGTTTCCTCGCTTAAGAGGCAGCGAAAATGGCCGCCCCATGGAGGATCTTCGCTTAAAGGTGAGTTTTTAGCCCATAGGAACACATTAATCACGTTTTAATGCGTTTCTATGGGCTTTTTATTTTCGCTTAGTGATGTTATCGCTTAGCAGCAATTTTTTCTGCACAAATTAACATCGCTAAGCGAGGCACCACTGTATATTGAAAGGACATGGGACTGCCTGCTTTTAAAACACAATAACCTATGTAGTATTTCATCTTCCACTGTGTAATATATACTGGTCTGGTGGAGGGCAGGGTCCAATTTATTTGGATGTTACCAAATAAAGCTTCTTCAGCGTGGTCTTCTGTGAATGCACACATAAAGGGTTAACCAGTGCCAGCGTAGGTC